TATATATATATATAAAGAGGAAGAGAACTTTCTTAGTTCAGTATGTTTCTAACTCCATTCACATCTAGATATAGCTGTCAGTCACCCTTATTTGTAGTTAACTATTATCTCGGTGTTTTCTTCATGTTCACCAGTATTCATCACATTACAATTACAAACCCAAGATAGTTTTTACTGATTCTATCGCCCCTCAATCCCATATCAATCAATTTCCTTGAGTTTATTACACCACATGCATCGGTAGTATACAGACAAGAAATCAGAAGTTCAAGCTTGCAGTAGATATATTCCATGGAAAACATCTAATTATCAACCCACAGAGAATAATATTTACTTTAGAATGATTTAATATGTGGTTGCCAGTAATAAGATATGTCCTACCTCCTAAGCTTTAATCAGGTATCAAAGTGCTCTTAATTGCATTCTATCATTAATTTTGTACAGATATCTACCCAGCTTAACCAGAACCCATTCCAGCCTGTGTTTTCCTAATACAAATAGGTTATCCATGCAATTATACATTTAGGGAACTAACAATAGATTGACTCTCACAGTTCATGACAGCAATATTTTCCAGTTTTGGGGTTGATGGGAAAGACCATCTAAAGGAAATAGCAAGTTTTTTGAGAACAGAAGGTATAAAAGAAGAAAGGAAACTGCAGTTTTAATGCTTTTTATGATAAAAAATAATATTGTTGAGTCTTAGCCTTCAAAAGATGTCTTGATCTGGAAACCTTCACCAGTAAATCCACGAGTAGGACTTAAGTATCTCCAAACTCAAAAAGGCACATAACCAATAGATGCCATAAATTTCCATTGTGTAATAATAAGTTTAACAGTGGGGGTAAGTTGAATGCAAAAATGTCTTATTGAAGGAAAATGAACATCATTTCAGACATGGCCAAGAAGAATCAAAGGAAATTCATTTATATGTAAGGAGACAGTAGAAGTAACTTTTGTCATCTTACGACTTTCATAATCCACCAAAAGGATGCCTTACCAAGGGAAATACATGCTCCAACTATTATGTTAACATATGCCTGAACAAATGATTCGGCGTCCATCTCATAGATATCATCCATCTCATTTTCAAGGCTTTCTATGCCATTTTGGACAACTTCAGGAACCTGGGACTGCATCCAGTCTTCCGATGGACAAATTCTGTGCCAAATAAATACAAATTCCCATAAATACAAGAAATAATAAAGTATCCCAATTCTAAATATCAACTAATAATTCACTTGCTTTTTACGGAAAGACTCTATCCCATGGTATTATATATTTCCATAAATATAGCAAAAAATAAATTTGACAATTTCTAGGAATGTCTAATATGCTACCTGCTCCATTGTATCAAATTCCGAGCAATAACACAGAGCATTACAAAATCAGGCCTCACGTGTTGTAATTCAAAATGTGTTTGCGGAATAGGCAGCCGAGATGCAACCATCTTTGATTCTGTCTATTATGGTTAAAAGTTAAGAGACATTAGGATCAGGGCAAGAAAAAAGTAAGAATTAACGAAGCACATAATCAGGTGAAGTGGTAAATAAATCAAAACAAAATTTTAGTACCGCAAGTTACCTTCAAGTAAATTAGAGTAAGAGCAATTATTGCCCCAGGTGCAGTAACATCAATATTGACCAGACTCCCATCCATTATCTAGTACGACAAAGCAGCATAATTTGAGAAAATAATCTAACACCGGAAAAGAATAGCCAGTTGCACAGCCTCACAAGATTATAATTGTTAGTAAAATATTGATGTGCATGATATCGCAGGGAATAAAGATTACACAACCTGCCCTGCACTTCGATTGTGTTCATCAACAGATGGTTTAAAGAGATGTAATCGGTCCTGGTATATAGCAGATTGACAAAGTCAACCAAAGAAATTTAAGATGTTCATTCTAGATAAAAACTTGTAGCAATATTTCTAATTCAGATATGGAGCAACTACATTATGAAGCTCTTTGCCACTGATATATTGAAACAGGCGATCAATTAAGGGGTCCTCAGAGCCAAGAGCATTTTCGCCGCGACCTTCAACAATAGAAGGAAGGTGAGGTAAGTTAAAACAGTAATTTCATTAACTGAATCAATTTAAAAACAATACCCAAGGCAACAAGACCGAGTGAAAATCCAGCTGAAACTGCATAACCCTCCCGTTCAAGGACATTATCTCCTCCACTTCGACGGCCTATTTCACTCTGGAAAAGAAATTGTGAATTTATAGTTCATCGATAGAGCATCTCATTAAAGATACAGACTACGGAGTTCGCTTTATGAGAAAACAGAGTATGCTTTAGAACCAGACATGTATAAATAACAGAAAATGTAGTAACTAGCTCTGTTCACATAATATTCATCGTAATGTTGATAATAAGCCTCTAATGTTTCACCACGTGTCAATTTGGAATATTTAAAGCGAAAGTAACAAACTAAATAATGGGTATTCAATTCAATTTTCCCTCCTCTGATCCCTGAACCCTTGGAGCCAAATAATGAAAAATAAAGAAAAGAGCCAAAGTATAGGTGTCATACACCCATCACATGGACCTTATACAACAAAAGAGCCACTAAAAGATTAGTATTACATTATTGCAACTGTTTTAGTTTTTCTTCTTCTAAAGAAATTTATGGAAAACATCAATGGTCCCATGAGCACACAAGCATGCTCAAGTAATATAAGTAATATTCCAACAACATATAAAGTAGCATAAGGGAAAAATAAATATCAACCCCAGGGCACAAAGAATCACATTTAAGTAGCAATAGAAACTGAAAGTACCAGAAGAACTTGCATTGTCTGTGGATGTGCTGATCCTTCGTAAAGGAGTCCGATGGACAAAAGTGCTGCTGACTGGAAATTCACAAAATAAAAAATGGAGCGAAGTCCGTAATTAAATAAATTCGAAACTAAATGAATTTGAAAATAATAGAGGATAAACAAATAAACAAGGAACCGGCAAAGAATCTAATAACATGATGTGTTAACAGGAAAATCAAATGTGCAAAACTAAATGAGAAACAGAATTTTGTTGATTCAGATGATATACTTGCAAAAATGAAGACAAACAAAACAAATAAAGATAATTGTTAGAGTAAAATCAGATGCAGTTTTATTCACACATAACAAACAAGATACCTGTATGAGGGTTGGCAATTCTAATTCTGGGAAGGAAGATGGATGGCGTGCTGGTAGGTGCACATAAAGAGACTGCTCAAACCAAAAGAAAGCAGTTAGCTATTTATTATTCCCATAAAAAAGGTATGCCTTACATCAATTGCAAAGTGATAACAAGAACAAGTGAAGGAAAACTTTAAGGTATCAAAATAGCATTAATAACACCAAAAATCTAATTCCACATGTTAATTTAGTTCTTGACATAGGAAGATGATATCAGAAGAGCAATAATAAATATTTACAATTATTAAATGAAGAATAGGGTCATAAAGAAAAATGACAAGGAGACTAGACATTTCACACTGAGATGTGTGCTTAGCATTGCAGCATTAGTTTTATACCCAAATCTGTTTCCCCATAGTCACACAGGTTGATTAAAATGAAGGAAATAAGCAAAAGTTGGCAAAATTGAAGAAGATTGCTAAATTGTAAGAGATCCAAAATTCGGAGACTAAAGTGAAAACACTCAAAAGTTGTGTCGGACCTCGCAATGAAGATTCAAAAGTGCTAGGAGTCAATTGGATGAAGAAAGAAGTCAAAAGGATGAAATATAGGCAAAGTATGATCACACAGCAATTTCCAACCGAAAAAGTTACGCTCCGGATTTTTAGTCCCATATTGAGATGCATTTTTGACATAGCAAATGTTCGAATTGGAAAATGATATCTGTAGCAAAATTGTAGCCTTTTGAGTTATCTTTCCAACGCATCTTGAATCCCCTCAATCGGATATCGAGAGAAAAATTTATGATAGAAATATCGAAGGATACGCACTACTGAATTTTCACCCGAAAAGGGCACTGCAGCGCCTCTGTCGCTGAAAATCAGTAGCATCATGGGCACCGAGGCGCCGCAGGGTGAGAAAACGGGTTTTTAATATTTTTGGATTCTCCTTACCCAATTCAACTCTAATTCGTCCAAAACTCCAAAAATACTATAAATACAAGATGATCAAAGACCTATTTTTCAGGGAATTGGAAGGGGCAAAACATAAAAAAGACTCAAAAAATCAAGCGAGTAGGCGCGAAGAACATCAAGGGGAACTCCAACTAAAGTTTCAAAAGAGTTATCTTTCCCTTTTTCCTTATGTTCTCTCATATCAATTGTTCAGATTTTATGAATTCCATCACGAACTAAACAATTTATCTAGGGTTTGATGTAGTCAAACTTGATATTATGATTTGATTTTGTCATATTATTTCTATTTGATTTTTCATATATGTTTGATTATGTCATAAAATTAATGCTTCAATTAATTGGCCACTAATTGAATAAATAGATACTAGTCAATTTCAGTACTCGAGAGGGGAATTTAGGCGGGATCATAGGATTAACACAACGTAGATTTTATGGGTTTCGAGATAAAGTATAGGATCTATGAAGTTTCTCCATAAAAGAATCATAAACTTTATAAAATCTTTGATTTTACTTCGAAATAGAGATATTGGAATTGAATTCTAAGATTAATTTCTAGTCGACACTCGAGAGAGGGGAGAGAAATACATTAGAATTCTTGCTTTTAAATATGAGAAAATTGACTAGAATAGTTAGATATAATTGAATCATAATTGAAAGTTATGTGAAATCATTTCCTAAGCCTTTTCGTTTACATTGCATTCTTTGTATTCTTTACTAAAATCATCGTTAGATTAGTTAACGATATTGATTTCAAAATTTGTCTCTAAATAAATTAAAAGCTAAAATAATTATAGTACTTAATATAAAATCAAATATCAATCTCAGTGGGTTCGACACTCTTACTCCAATACTATATTACAGAACTTGACACCGTACACTTGCGATATAATTAACGTTGCATAAAACGCGTGACAATAGGGAAATGGAGATTAAACACATCCCAGGCGAAGGGAACACAAAGGATGAAGAGCACAACATAATTAAGTAGAAAGTGTAATTAGGCTCATGGAATGGTGTAGGGAAATAGGAATTGAGATAAGTGATTGAGATGGGAAAAGAAGTGTTGAAGCTTTATGAGAGGAAAGCATTTGCAAGTAGGATGGCATAGCGAGTCTACATGTGGTAGGATTAATGAGTTTGTGCAAGATAATGGGGTGGTAGGTGGGGCGACTGAGGCTGCCGCGGTAGAATTGAAGGAAGATTTCAGAAATTTTACCAGTTTCATCATTATCATGTTTCATTTTCCCCAACCACTTGGCATTTTCTTTCTTCCTTCTATTTTACTTCTTGTTCCTTGTTTATTAGTTTTTTCCCTTACCCACGAAAGGTTAAAAAGTTCAGGGGTTGACATTAAATGAAACCTAATGGGGCACTTTTCCAGTTATTACATGATTCTTTTGATGATTAATTTTACAAATTCAGTAATTGAAACTTTGTTCATTAAAAACTACATTATTGTTAATAAAGTAGAAAGTATAGGTTGTTCAAGAGTAGTTCACTCACCCAATAACCATGTATGAATAAATAAACTTGTCACATGGAAACATGTAAAAACTATGTCAAGTATGGTAGGCAATGAACAGATGTAATTGTGTTCAGCTTAGGAATATTATCAGTAATATAATTGTGAGACAGAGAGTAAGGAAGGGAGGGGATATGGAGAAACTCTCTGCTTCTACCTTTGAAATTGCTGGCTGCATGGTTCCCCTGTATGATGCTGCAAGGCCCAGCATTAATCCTACAGTAGTACTTTCATGTTCCTGCTGAGGATACATCAGGATTAGAAAATGCTACTTAATATAGATAAAATAAAAATATGAAATGTTATGAAGAAAAAAGGTGAAAATGGGATGGAAGATGAAGTTGCGGAAAAAAACCAAGTATTTGTCTGGAGCAATCAGCCATACAGTTCCAAGAATATAGTGGGTGACAAGAAGCATTAATGTTATCATATCAGCAGCAATTTTTAGAAAGTTCTTTGAAAAGGCTCATACATCACTAAGAATCAGAGATTTAGTGTGGAACCAAACCACTTTCACAGTATAATATAACTTCTAAGAATCTCATTGGTATCAAATTCTTAGTATAATCAAATAATGATTACCAAACCAATGTGAGTTCTTAATTGCTATCATTAACTCCATAATTGTGCAAACATCTCACAGTACGAATCAAATACATGAATCCATTTTGGTCATTGCCTTTGTAAAGTATGCATTACACTTTTCTAAAGAGTAAATGCATGATTGTATTTCTGAAGAACACAAGGCCTAAGGAAAAGCAAAAGTTTCACTGTAACCTCTCAGAAAGACAACTCGTCAGAACTTCCAGTTAAATGATAAGATGCTCACGATTCTGTGAAAAAGATGGTCATTTGTGCCAAAAACAGATGTCTGCATGTGTACACATAGACGTGTCTCTGTGTGTGTGTGTGTGTCTACAAATATGTAGGTGTGTCAATGTGTATATTATGTATATATGTATGTGTATATTTTCATATGTGTGTGTGTGTGTGTGTGAGACGTAAAAGATTATAAGTAAGTATGAATGCATGTTTATATATAGATAAGATGTAAAAAATTGAAGATAAAGAAACTGCATGGGGGAATGAATCAGCAGTTCAACCTGTGAATAGTACTGGTATACATCAGTAATATTCAAGACATGAAGTTGTCCATGTAAACCCAAAGCAAGAAGAAGCCCCGCATGACTAACATTGGGCTCCTCAGGTTTGTTATAAAGTATCCATGTTCTTGACATTTTTCCCTGTGTGAAAAGAATGTGGCCCGTAAGAACAATTTTAAGTGAATGCACTAAATCTCATCCAACACGAGATAAGGGAGAGATGGGGAAGAAAACAATATCTACCATCACCATTGCCCACTGGCTATTATTTTAAAATATATATCAAATATAAACCTGAAGGGGAGCAAATCTTAAGCCCGCAGCAACTGCGTTGTGAAATTCAGGCCAACACTTGAGGTCTTGAACGTTTGTAATGTTTGCGTCTAAATTAACCTGCAAAACAGTTAACATTCCCACATGATTGTTGAAGCCTATCTATTATGGCATAAACAAAAACCGTAGAAACATGACATTACTGTTGCATTTTGCTGTGCAGGCAACCGACCAGCCAAAACAAGTTTTGGAACGGTGAGAGCCTGCAACAAAAAACATCATTCTTGTGATTATTTTATCCCTTACCATGTCTAGCTGAAGCTGTAAAATGAAGATGAAAGTACAGCAAGAAAAGAGAGTTCCATTCAAACTCGAAAAAAAAAAGACCAGATGATAAAAGTTGTGATAATAACTAAAACCAAAAAGAAGAAGCACCTCAGTTAAAAGGGTACATATTGTGCCCAGTGTAAATGCCCCACGACCGAAAGGAAGAGTAGTAGTTCTTTGAGCAAGATGCCAGAGCTGAGTCTGTATAAATAATATCAAAATAAGCTACTATAGGTCGAAGAAATAGATAAGATCTAATCCCACATAAAGAGGAATCAGAAATGATTATCAGAATCAAAGAAGTTGCAAATCTATTGATCCAGAATCAAAGAAAAACAGGTACAAGTCCTTTAAAATGAAAATCAGGTAAAGATCTGTATTAAGTGACTAAAACAGCAGACACCTGTTGGAGGTCCTGATCAGAAGCCATAGGGTTAACAGGAGTTTGTATTGCTACAGGTTTTGCAGAACACAAAAGACGTCTCACCTGTGTAAAAGACAACTAACAGTTATTTACAGTGGATAACCCATAAGACTAGCATGGCAGCGGGACACAACTATATTTCATCAAAACTACTTTGCAAGAAATTGACTCAAACTCGAGGCAAGAGTACACAATTCAATCAAATATCGAAGGCTAGAAAAATTATCTCCAATGAACTCTCTGAACATTGTTGGAGGAAATGTGCATGCCAATGGCATGAACTTTAAAATCGATATGCCTACAGATGTTTATATGTACATCATATATGACAAATATCAACAACTTGGATCTATCTCAGAAACAAAGATGCTTTCAGACAAAATTAAAAACTGCATACTGAGGAATTGGACGCCAAACAGTTCATCTAAACGACATGGATAGTCAAACCAGTATAACTTCTGTTAAATATAAATAAAAATTAGGTGAGAGGGGGTCCCAATTCCAGACTTCGGAGTGTGCTGGTCCTGTTGGATGCTCAAAAAGCTCAAATCTTGCATGTGGCAGTACAGAACTTAACCAAGAACGTAAAGCCCTAAAACAAGGATGTGGTAACAGCCAAGAAAGAAAACACAATATCCAACAAACCATTAATATCAGAGCAACATATCATGAACATCCTTCCAAAATTAAGCGTTGTGAAATCATACTACAAAAATTAAATACCAATTTCAATATGTGACAGATACAGATTTGTAAAGTTGAAGATGACATTCAGTAAGTTATACTTTATTGGGATTCAAAATGAATTTCAGCAGAAAACAATTTATATATTGGTTTTTTGATACAGATAAGTTCATTAGTGAGAAATGCACCTCATTTAGCCGCATATCACGACCATAGCGCAACTGTGTGCTAGAGTTGAAAATATGCTCCATTCCATCAGTCACTGATTCATCGAAAGAGTCTAGATCCTTCAGCTTTGTACTCTCCAATTCAAGCGTCTCAGAAACTGAGGAAGGTATTGTCACTGGATGCAGATGCAACATGTAAGGTGTAGACATAGAGATCAAATTTAAATTCGTATGACGTTCCTGTTCCACAATCTTGCTTGGATCTGTCGAACACAATAAAGCCAAATCTTCCCTGCCAAGGAGCACGTAAGCAGCTGCAGGCCATTTTGTTGGAGGAGACTCACGACACCTGTCCAATGCCTTGAATAGACATTATAACATATGATTTTTTATGAAATTGAACACCAGAAGATAATTTAGGAACCAAAAATTTCTGTTGGCTTATCCTCTGAAAATCCAAAGAACCGCCAGGAAAAAAAAAATTATGTTCATTTAGAGCACACGCTTTGCAGACACAGAGAGAGAGAGACAGGAGGATAATGCACAATATCCAAAATCATTAATGTCTTAAAGTCTTCATATATGGTAACTTTTGTTAAGGTTTAGCATCAAGGCATCAAAACCCCCAGAGTGTCAATAACTTTACAATAAGGTGCAAATATGGTGACACAATATAACAATGCACTTCTATAAATAAAGAAATTGAGCTGTCAACTTACATGTCGCAGAGGAAGAGAGATGCCAGCTGGCAGCAAGTCCAACTGTTGCAAACCAAATTTTTCACCAACCATTGCCAGAACAGTCAGCTCTTCACGAGTATAAAATAACCCAGATGCAATATTACAGGTAACTCCAGTCGACAACCTTTTTTCTGATTCGTCTGCTCCACACAATAGGCTATAGAATGAAACAATCTTCCGGGCCCAGTTTACAACAGAACTTCCATCTTTGCAGATCAGAAATGGAAGATCTTTAGTACTAGCAGAATTGCATCCATGCTGCAAACAATTTTCTAGCCATCTGAATAAACTTGGAGGTGTCCTTGGAGAAAATGAGAGCTTAGACTCCTCAAAGCCTTTCAAAAGTCCAGGAAAATCACGTTTATAATGATCCAAGTAGTTTTTTTCATTCAAGAAACCAGCAACATCGCATAATAGAACTACCAGAAGACTCAAATCCCTACAAGGAAAAAAAATTATGCCAGGAAATTCATAAATAGGCATGAATGTAAAATGTTTCCAAGGACAAAATCGAAATGCTAAGAACAAATATTCTTGCTAGCCAAAGTATGCATGGCAACAATCTGTCAAAACAAGGCTTGCTACAGCACCTGTTAGACAGACTGAGATGTGATCATAAAATATTGTCGTCAGTTTTCAGAGACCAGAAATGCAAGGACTAGTTGAAAAACATTGAAGACATGCAAGGACAACTTTAGGATCATAATTTTAAAACAAAATGCATTAAATTACAGTAAGACCAACTTTTATAATAAAAAAGAGGACAAACTAGGAAAAGTTATTAGTACTGAGTGTTTATATAAGACGTGTAAATTCCTGATATACTTAGTCATTGTCTGGTCACCTTTACATTCTTACATCAATTCTATGAACTATAAATTTATATCTTATAAATTAAAACGAATCAGAAACTACTAAACTCTCATTCATACTTTTCTACACATGTTGAGGTATTGGTGCAACCATGTCAATTGATTGGCGTGATTTGCCAACTATACTAATTTGTTTCCATTCTATATGTCCCTCACTGTTGTCCCCTACTTTCTGGGAAAATGTTTTGTTTGTATATCAGTGTTACTCATCTATTTCATGTCTGGAATTCTTTTTATGTACAAAATAAAATTAGAATGTGAATTTTTGATCTTTTGCTTGTTTCGATAAAGTCGATGCTCTCAAATGCAATGCAATTACGTGACTGGATAGTTGTGCAAGTTGATTAATCATTGTCAAAAACTGCAAAATACAATGGACACTGATGAAAAGAAATATGATGGGATAAGTTAAGAACCTTTTGCGAAGATTGTCTAGTTTCAAAGTTTCATAAACTGCATGCAGTGAATCCAAAGTTTCTGTCAGCAATTTCAGGTAGAATGATTCCTCAGTTCTCTGGGGGTAGCCTAAAACCGCTCCAGCTGAACTCGACACCTGCATGCCAGATGATGATCCAGAAAAAGTACCAGCTATAAAGTTATGTTTATAATACTTGTCATGATATCTGCTTTTGATAAGAAACTCCCATGACGAATGTGAAGCTGAATCTGAAGATATTTGAAACGAACAGTTAGACTTCCTGCACAATTGCATTATTACACTACAAAAAGACTCCCATTCCGAATCAGCACTGGAATCTGCCTTTGATAGATAAGCTGAACTGCCATCGCCCCATAGAAGGACTAGGAAGTGATTGTAAAAACAAGGACTAAGCCCTTCAGCCATTGCATTGATACAATCATTAGTTAGAGAAGAAGAAGGGCTACGTCGAAATGCACATCTGTAAACCTAAAACAAAAAAATTAGAAATTGTTAACATCTATCAATGTCAGAGACGGGGGTAGAAGAGAAAATACAGGGTGTGAACAAAAATAACTGTTTAACAGAAATACTATGGTAACTAAGTAAGTGCAGGCATGTTTTCTCTCTCATGACATTCAGGTACGGGTGTTCAGAAAAACTAACTTATTATTGCCTATTTGTGATTTTCTTTCCAAAAAAAAAAAAAAAATAGGAACATTAATAGTGATCCAAGCAAAAAAAGCATCAAATACATGATATTTACTATCTGCACTTAAGGCAAATAGTAGAAATTTTTTCTGTATAGCTGTGTAGAATACTTTGCTCTTAGTTAAACTGGGTCCACAGCACAAGAAAGTGACACAAACATTCAGATATTTCCTTGAAGGACTGCCAAAATGGCATATGATTTTGTTTTACGTCCCTAATCAGTAATCTTGAGCGATAAAAGCAGTATTGGATGTCACTTTCAGAGAAAGCCCATATAATTCTTTTGTATACCTGGCCATTGTTCAAATTTAAATTTATTCGCCCTTCCACAGCATCAGTCAATCCAACAATTTTCAAATCACGGATAGTAGTTTTGTTTCCTGAAAGCTTCGGATTAATCAAAAGCTGATCTCTACCCAAAAAGGAGGGCATAACATATCGGCATAGGCATAGCTTTCCAGACTGCAATTGTAAAAACTAACTCAGCATGCATATACATAAATTTCAGCAGAAATGGTAATCCACAGAAAGCTCAAAATACATAAGTACAGTAACTTAGGTTTCATGTCACATGAAAACAATGTAATGTTTGTTGATTGGCAGTTATCTACTGGAAGATTTTTTAAAATGCCGTAAAGACTGTCCTGACTCATGACTTGAGTCAGAATTCGAGAAGCACAACTTGAAACTAAATTTCTGTATATTCTAACTTAAAAAATATGATGGCCGATGCAATTCTCTGTGATCTCGTGATATTTCGCAAACACAGAACATCATATTACTTATGCTGGCAGCATTGTCAAAAATAACTTACAAGTAGCTCTCGAGAAGAACTCCAGATGGCAGGAGCCATGCCATCATTTCAACTTCAGTCTATAATTGTACTTCACAGAAATGAAAAAAATTGCAGGAATGTGATTTGGACATTTACTTCTAACTCAAAGATTTTCATGTTTTTAGACTTTCTTATCCTTAACCAATGTCTCAAGAACTCACACAAAAATACCACAAACAATAGAATTACAGGAGTGTGACCTATAAAAGAATTCTCCAAGGAAACAACTACATATGCAAGGGAGACTGGAGAAGAATCCAAAACATTCCACAAAAAGCAATATGCCAATATCAGCGATGAAAAGTTTTAGGGCCCGTTTGATTCTCATTATTGTAGAATGAGAATGAAAAATATAGCCGTTATTGGGCCCCACACAAGATATAGAAATTCAAAATTAATGGCATTATGTGATGGATAATGGTTATATTTTTCATTTTTACGGAAAAAAAATAAGAAACAAACGGAGGCTTAATTTCAAAAATCAGGCACTGATTAATTTTTGATAAAAATCATCGCACCTCGACTAATTTCACGGGGCCCTGAAGTTTACGGACCCTGAGGGGATTCGAACTGGTGACCATTAGGAAACAAACTCAAAACCTAACCAATTGAGTAATGGAGAAAAAATTTAAAAGGTACAAAGAGCTTGTAAGCAGAATATTCAAATTTTGTCACTGGTTAGAATTTTTTTTTCTTTTTTTTTTATAGTTAATCAAAGGATAATACACAAAAAGTGTATTATCAATTTAAACAAGAAAGGAACAACAAGAAATTAGGCAACCCTTCTATAGAATTAGTAGTCGTCTAGTCGAGTATTAAATCAACTATACAAAGTCGGATAAAACAATTCTCTGATCTGCTCCGGTGTCCGTGTTTGATGTTCAAAACAGAGGTTGTTCCTTTTTCTCCACACACACCATATGGTAGAAAATGACTATATTTTTTTTTTGATAACCGTGGATGTCCGGGCCAGCTTGCGCGCACCTTGACTAATTTCACGGGGCCCTGAAGTTTACGGCCGAGTACTCACCTCAATGGCCCTGAGGGGACTCGAACTGGTAACCATTGGGAAGAAAATGACAATATATGCAAAAAATAAGTAACTTCTAAGGGAAGACGTGTGTCATTTATCAAATATGAACCCATGTATTCAAAAGACATCATGTGAAACAAATGGAGATCGTTATTCCAATAAGAAAACATAAAAAGTTGAGCAACTTACATATAGAAGAAGGGTGTTTTCAGGAGTCAAAGTCATGATATCTCCTAGTGGAAGTAGTCCCACTTTTATTCTGCATAAATCAAATTCAAATCATTTAATTGGATTACAGAAGGATAACAACCAGTAATAAAGAAGGTAAATTTACCTAGGACGGGTGACAATAATAGGTGCGGCAGCAATTGCAGGTATGCTCCAGCTCATGTCAGGTTTAATATCATAGACAATCTCATTATTTATTTCCACACACTGAAGCCGCACAGACAACAACATCTTTTGTTCTTGGAGAAGAAAACATATAATAGGTGCAACATCATCGTCAGTAGCCAAAAAAACCTGACACCATTATATGAGACACTGTCAAAAGAAGAAGAAGTAAACAGAGACAGGACACTATTAGACAAGATTCTAGACATAACGTCGTATGAGGGACAGAGAGAAATTTCACTGAATCAAACAAGATGTGATGTGTGCACCATTTAATTAAAAATTGTTCAAGAAAATATCTTAAATACACCTAGGATAGTCTCACTCAAAAACTCAACTCACCAAGAAGGTTCTATTTCCATTAGCAACCAGAACTCAGCATATTGATATTCACGTAGACTCTTAACAGAGTTTCAAACGAATTTAGTTTGGGTGGTATTTCGACAGGAACTCGCAATGTTTTAAACAAACGTAATTAGGTACCACGGCCTTTTTCCTTCACGAGGCAGAGGGTGAGCCTTGAGGCGTTTTGAGGCCAAAAAAATAATTCAAAATAATTACATAATAAAGCATAAACCAGATTCAGAATTCAGAACAATTTAAAATGTTTGCAAACAAACAAAAAAAAAAAAAAGAATCTATAAAGTAATAAAAAGCTATGACTTTAGTTGGTGGGACAGTGGACTATTTTCAAAGTAGATATATTATAACCACAGCTTTTAAATGTTTTAGTGGGGCTTTGGACTATTCTCAAAGAGGATTTATAAACAAATTTAATGTTTTTTGGCCAATCAAAGTAAATAAATCTAGAAATTAAGAAATACATGCTAAAAAGCCTTCACACAATGTTGTGAGACGCGTATGGTGCGGAAGTGGAATTAAAATTCTTGAAACAAAAAGAAAGTTGAAAAACTCGAATATTAGTACAAAATAATTTTTAACGTATTTGAATTGATTATTGAAAAAGTATGCAATGCCTTTGTTATATAGGCAAAATAATTTCCTAATTTTACTAATATAAGGAACCTAAACAATGTTACTAAAAGGAAAGAAAACTAAAAGTCTAAAAGTAAACAAAATTCAAAATCCTAATTTAAAAGGAAACAAAAATCCTACCATAATAGTAAGCGTATTCTATCCTATTTCTATTAGGATTGTCCTATATCAGTGGGACTCACTTAGTTGAGATGTACGGCACCAAAAGCTACCTCATAATCAGCACCTTGAGGCATATTTGTTTGCCTCTCGGGATATTTTAAATCATCGGAACTAGGAGCATTATCATACATGATAGGATATAGATTAAGGAAGCAAGGTACCTCTGAATTATACCTGAGAAGACTAATTAATAGCCTAAACAATGAAAAGATCATAACGAGAAATTTTTCGACTCGAAGCATACTCGTGCTCTCTTGAGAAATCAAAATTCATAATCCATTTTTTTCTTCAAAAAGAAGAAGTAAATTTAAAAGTTGGACCAAAAAATGCATGTGAATCGAAGCAATATGCACTCATGTTCAGAACTCCATCCAAAAGCCACCAAAACAAATAATATGTTTGGCACCTTACTAGCAGCGGTGTGTGAACCTTTCCCCTGCCATATTCTTCGAAAGGAAAATTGCTTTGCTAATACCCTAGAAGGGATTAAGTCAGATGTCTTAACATGAACCGCTCCAATGTTCGAGTTGAGAACTTCTACGGCCCACAAAGAATGTTTCATCTTTCCTACAAAACATTACATGCAACAAATAACTATATATTTTTTTTGAATTCATCAAAAGAGTGATAGATTCAAAATTCAACAGGAAAAAAGCAAAATCTACCTTTATTGTGTGATGCCACCAGAGGAATAGAATCACTCGTCCAAATTGTTACTTCATCAAATTTGCTCATTGGATTCAGCTTACCCATTTCCTCGATATAAGTTAGCTGAGAATGGCATGATATTGTGACTTACATTAGATTGATAGATAAAATTGAAAATTTTGTATATGCATAGTGGGATAAGAACTTGGGAAGATAGCATCACCATGAGATGAAAAAAGAAAATTATATAGAACTAATGCCAATATAAAAGATTATTAAGAATACCTGAGGATCTTCCAAGGGATCGTTCAGTATCAAATGAGAGGAAATGGTTCCACAATCAAATGAATTCATTGGAGTGTAATTATTTTGAGGACTGTTTCCTAGGCCCCTTTTTGGACGAAAGACATCACGAGCACTTAAAAATGGGCTTGAAGAAAACAATGTAATATTTGTTAGTGGATTCCTCTCCGGGGCTTGTTGGAGAAGTAAACCAAAAGGAAGAGGCCATATTGAGGTAACAGTATGAGTAAGTGGAACAGATACCACTTCACCTGTAGAAAAACAACCTCAAACTTATCGTGTTAAAGATGTACGAAGTAAATGACAAACAAAAGAAATAAGAAATTAGAGGGCTTAATCACATTTAACAGCCCATAAAATTTCTGAAAAAGAAACATAGTAGTCGCTAAAGTTTCAATTAGGTCACTCGGTCATCCAATCTAATCAATGAAAGAAGAAATTTGAAGGATAAGAATTATATACCCCAAAAAAAATAGATCTCTCAGTAAAGTCTCATAGATCACGTTATCAAAAACTACAAGAAACAAAAGGGGAACTACAAGAGAAGAGATTTGTTGGGCATGTATAACGTCCAAAATCTAGGGAATGAGTTGCATTACATTTGTTAATTTTTTTAATTCTTTCTTCCTATCCTTTAATTGTCTTTTCCTTTTTATATATATTTTTATTTTAAATAAAATAGGATTATAACCACATTTTTAATAAAAGACTTTTTAATGAACTTATGGATGGAAACAATCCATAAGACTACTTGTGCACAGAAACAGCGAAAGGCTGAGGATGAAAAATGAAAATGCTCCATCCTAAAGGTTGGGAACCACCTTACTAGATAGGCCATAGGTTGGGGACCAATACTACAGTTTTTTATTTCAGTTTTGAACTTCTTTTTCTTATATTTTAAGATGATTCCATTTCCCCCTTGATGAATATATCCTTCTATCATGATTATAAATTTAGAGCCTTTCTTAATCTTCTTCTTATTCTTTCCCAAATTCTCCCCAAGATTTGAACCTAGGGATTTCATATCTAAAACACTCATAGAGCCTGGTTAATCATGCATTTTGTTGATCCACAGAGAGAGATAATAGATAGAGACACAGAGAGAATCAGAAGCATAAAGTGTGCCTAAATCCTTTTTCCTTTGAAAGAAGTATATTTCTAAACAAAGATGACTTTGGAATGCATGATCAAAAGGCATGTAAGTCTTGTAATTTGAACTTAAGATAGAAATCATTTCTACTTCGGTTTTTTTCCCCTTTTGGAAAAAATCCCCTTCTTGTTTGCATGGTAGATAGAAAATTACATGAAAATGACTACAAGTCAATCTTCAAAATCAATTCATGGTTGAAAATTTGACATTATTTATTGAACATCTTTCTCCCTCTCTCAAACTAAAAATTGGAAACGCTGTCCTTGTCTGCATTCCTACTATTTCTTTATGTGGGCTTTCCCTCCTCTAGAGATATCTTTAAGCTATACTAAATTTCAATTGCAGTTAATGTAAAAGAAAATTTGATGTCATATCAATACGGACAAAACAAGGCATTTGCACGATCAAAAACTATGGCCACACCCCAATTCCTATAAGGCAAAATAATGTGAATTGAACAAAAAACTATAAAGCATATTGGTAAGAAGCGTAAAGAGATAGAAGGACAATTATAAACCATTTCCAGAAATTAAAATAACCTCAAACATGTTTAATAATATATTTAGAAAATATTTTAAAAAGACATTATTAACTCACCTGTTGTACTATAGATAGTTAAACTATCAATTTGAAGAACACATAACAAGGATTCACACAGATCGCCCATTCGGCACCAGCATGTCTGTAATTTTATTAGCACAAATGTAAGTCATCCAAGTTAGCAAAATGAAGCAATAACCAAATTTACAAAATTCAAACACAGATCCAAAGAGATTCCTCATTTTTACTTTCTTTCTTTCTAGTTAGTGAAAATTACTTTTCAAGTAAGTGAGAATCTTGAAAATACTAGAAAATCCACACAAACAAGCACATGGCACAACTGCCTAAGTCAAGGCACAAGCCTTTACAAATAGCACTGAAAGCATAAAATGTAAGGCATTCCATGAAAGTCTCATGTAAGGCACGGCTTAAGGAGTATGACTCATGCAGCTTTTTAATAAAATGATATGAATAAGACTTGATAAAACGTTCTATTATTTTTTATAGCACCATACATACTTTTTTTTGATAGGTCTATAGCACCATACATACTAATAGCTAATAACATAATGGAATTCCATATTTTGTGAATAATCATTTATTTGTCCTTTACTTGAAAACATACTAGAATATCCTTATAATGCCATATCTTTGAAGCAAATATGTTACGAGTGCTTTTTCCTGAAATTTCATCATAAAACATTATAACCACATTTGGAATCTCCATTTATTCACAAACCTATGCACCTTCGAGGGCATATATGTCTGCCAAGTCACCAAGCTCCGTTATACTAGTCATTTATCCAGTTGCTCATATGCCTAATTAGATATATTAAATGCAAAGAACTCACCCATAAATCTTCTTAATCCAAATGCTAACCCATTTACAGTCTATGAAACACGTAACATTTTGGAATAGATAAAGAAATTAATCAAGTACAACAAACCATTTCTTAATGTTAAAACTGCTGGATTAGACTCTTAAGAAAACTCGGTACCTTTATGACTTTGGATGGTAATGTAAACCTCTTGTACACTCGCGAGCCTATACTCCATATTATCCTGTCATAATGTCGCATGGTTCAAGTAAGTTATTTTTCATTTCCAACAATGCAGCAAATTTCAAAGATTTCCAAAAAGATGCAATCACTTTAAAATAAAAATATTAAAAATAAGATTTAGATGATAAATATGTGACTCTCCCTAAAAGTTTGAGCTTTTATATCAAGTGGTTTAACATTATATTAAAGCAGACAAAGGCCTAGGTTCAAGCCTTTCCGCTAACCATTTTATTAAAAGTGGTGCACATGTAAAGCTTTAATGGGAAAAATGAATTCCATCTACATTTGAGGTAGTGTATTGAAGATAAGATTAAAATAATATATGTGACCCTCTCTTAAAAAGTGAGCTTTTAAATCAAGTGGTTTAACATGAAGGATTGGAAAATATATAAGAAATATAAATAAGTGTGATTCCGTGATTGAAGTTACTTGGAAATGGAATTAAAAAATCAATAACTAAATTTAATTATCTAGAGTAAAAAATGATACTTTTAGCAACTCAAAACATATAATGGCCATTATTTTGAGAAAATAGAGTTTTGAATAGTGATTTTTTAGAGAATAGGTTGTCAAAAGGTATGGAAAAGTTTTGAATTTACGTGCAAAATATTTTATCCTGTAATCTATAGTTAAAATGAGCGCGAGGATTAAAGAATTTTGAAATAGCATAGTAAAGAGCTCATTTTTTATGTTACACTATCTTCATTTTCTAGTTTTGACTCCAAATACCACGTGTAAGATTGCCTTCATATTTTCAAAAACTAGAGACCTTGTAAAATTTTTTAGAAAAATGCTACTTGCACATCAAAAAGTGTACATCAGGTTCTACATCCTCTCACATGGAGGGGTCCACCTGAATAAAATATTCGAGTGGGCCCTTACCCATTTGAGGGGGGTGTACACCATGATGTATATCCACTTGAATTAAATATTCGAGTGGACCCCTTACCCATGTGAGGAGGGTGGACACCATGATGTACACCCCGATGTACTAGTAGCATTGCTCAATTTTTTAACATTCACAAACAAAAAACTTTTTAAAAATGCCTGTTGGTACAATTTTGCCGATTAACTTGAGTAAAAAGCTGATCGCATGTCCGACATGGTATGAACTAAAACTCAAATTTTATGAAACGTCAATGATAGATAAAAACTAAAGCTTGTTAAACTTAATTGAATGGGCACAAAAAAGTTCAGAATTTCAAAATTCAACGAACAAGAACCAAATAAAATTCAAAACTGTGGAGCATACTCATGTGTATCAAGAATTCGAAGTCAAGTAATGAAAAAACAAGTACCTATTTCCTCTAACAAAAAGCTCGTGATCACTCCAGTTACTAGACGACGCTTCTAGCTCATCTGCAGCTTCATCACGTTGTTTGGTGACATTAAGATCAAAGAGAAAGAAATGGTAATTATCGTCAGCGGGCTTGCCACCGTCGAGGGCTTCGGCGACCAAGCCAAAGGGCTTAAACTCTCCAAGTACGGTGAGTTCTCGGATGGCGGACATTTCCTGAGTTGAATCGGTGAGTCGCATGAATGCTGATTTGTGAGGTAGGATTGAGAATGTCTCTCCCGCTCTTTTTTGGGTTTGATTTGAGTTTTGAGCCTCGAGGGTGGGAGCTTGAGAGTGTAAAACCCTAGGGGGAGGTTTTAATTGGACCCGGTTTGACAAGGTCCATATATATCGAACTCGATCGACTGATTCCAGAACGAACCGAATTGTTTGGGTTGGCTCGTCGTCTCCTAAATGGATGATTTCATTGTAATTTCTTCTCGGGCTCCCAACCTTTTATAAACTTTTCATTTGTGACATTTATGTCCTCAAATTCACTTTCTAATATAGCCCATGTTTTTAGGATTTGAAATTTAGATTTTTATTTAAGTTAAAGACAATTAATTTTAACTACTTATTTTATGACACTCACAACTTTTCAATCACATATTTCATCAATTTTTATCAAAATTTATTAAAAAGTTGATTTTAATCTCCTATATCGTCATTGACACTTGTCAAGTAACAAATTTTGATAATAAAAGGGCAACTCTAATAAAAAAAAAATCATAATTATTGATTTCATATTCACAAATAATAGTAAGAAAAATCATAATTCGAATTGATTTCATGAATAATGCTAGAGTTAAATGTTTCATTAACCATTAAGCTTTATACTTCGTCTTGGTTTATCCACTAAACTTCGTGAAGCTTCCCAATGTCAACTTAGGGATGTAAATTTAGGTCATCGGCTCGGACAGTCCGCAGCTTGGCCCGATAAAAGCCCCCACCAACTTGGCTCGTGACTCATTCCACCAAGCCAAAGCTGGGCCAAGCCTCATTTGCTTGGAGCCAGCCAGTGTGGCAGACCAGAATGACCCTTCACACAAGCCATTTTTATAGCATGTAGCAAAAGACTATGCTGAGCTACAGTTGCCGATTCTGACAGTTGTAGCTGCTTGCTTATGATTTTACCTATTTATTAAAAAAAAAAATTCATGACTTAAAAAAAATGAGAAAACTCTGCTTGGCCCGACTTGATAAGGCACGAGTCAAGCCTTGATTATTGGCTCGGCTCAACTCGTTTACATTCTTATGTCCACTGAAGTTATGTCAGTTGCACTAAAATGGTCACGGATGGATTCCTTCTGTGATTAGGTCTACATGGAAGACAGAAATGTGACTTGTCAATTAAAATCGACCACATATTTAGGAACTTGCTTACGTGGATGCCAAATCATCCAAACAAACCATTATCCCCAAATTAAAAATGCACTTCTATCATTTACAACTTATTTGAGCCCAATTTTATGTAAAATACATTTTGAAATAGTATATTGATGGAGAATGTGTGGTTAAAATAAAAAAAATTTGGGTTGTATGTAATATTATTTTATTAAAGAACATATGATTGAAAAGAAGAGAGAAAAATGTATTTTGAAAAAAATGGGGATGAAACAAGTGCTTAATTTAAACTCCAATTCTCCCACCTCAAGAGAAATTTACGCTTCAAGTTCTTGAATTTGCTGAGAGGTGTGTAGGTAGTATCTTTTTTTCCTCGACGGCTTGTCGGTAGCATCTTGATCATCTCCTAAGGCACCCTTCATATTGTCACTCCTAGATCTGCTCTCATGCTCTTCATCTTTGCTTCTTCTTCCACCAACATTAGCTAACTCAAAATTCTTCTCCATTATTGCCACCTCTCCATATTCGTTTGCTGGCCAAATATCGAAAAATAACCCCCCAAAAAAATCAGTATTCAAAATGGACGTGTATATATAACGTATGATGGAGAGAGAAAATGGGTGGTGTACAAGGGCAAGAGAGTTGGACATGGGTTTCGAGGAGAGAGACTGAGAAACAAGATGTGGGGGAATAATTGTGCCAGTGTGCATGTTATTGATGTCCATATAGCTCATGTTAGCATTACTATTGCTATAAGGCATTCCAGCAACGATTCTTGAAGTCCATGAAATTACAATTGCTAATATTTTGGGGTAATGGTTTGTTTGGATGATTTGAAGTCCATGTAAGCAAGTCCCTAAACATGTGGATTATATTAACAGACACATGACATTTCTATCTTCCACGTAAACCCAACCACAGAGGAATCCATCCAGCGGCCATTTTAGTGTAACAGACGTAACTTCAGTGGCCATTGAGAAGCTTTGTTAAGTTCAATGGGTAAGCGGAGACAATGTGTAAAGTTCAATGCTAATGAAACATTTAACTCACAATGTTACTTGTACATAATGAAGTAACATAATGGTTTACATGCAGATGGGGTGTCAAAAGAGAGTGAAGATTTTTTTTTATTTGGTCAAAAAACTCTAACTCAATCATATCTCACTACATCATGTATATGTAAACCATTATATAAATTATTATATTCATGTAACACAATCGATTTCATGAATATTTGCAAATGTCCCCGTGATTATTAAAACAAAAAAGAACAAAGAAAAAAAAGTGGGGTGGTCTAACAAAAATCAAGAACTCAATAGATCTGATTTTTGCACAGAATAATTAACCTAGTATGAGATTAATTCTAACATTGATGTTGTTATATCTATAAACTACGTGATATGCACGGGACGGAAGGGTCCTATATTGGCTGATTTGGCATCGATTATTCAATAGGATTGAGCCTATTAAATTAAGTAACCTCGTGCAACCTCATATTGAGCTTGAACTTGAGCCCATCTTGCTAAACCCACTTGGCCCATTTTCATTTCTCTATAGACGTGATCCATTTCACACATGAAGTATGTCATTAGAACTCTAGTCAAACCCCTTCCCTCGTCTCTTGCACTCATATTATATTTCGCTCGACAGTTGACTTGATAGTCAGAGTGCAAACGACTGTCGATCTTTTTTCTTGATTGGCGACATTTTGCCTTTTATCAGTATGTTCGAATGTGCAGGTGATACTTGCATGGATGGGAGATGATAGGACTCTGTTGGCCACGTGTTCATACAAAAAATGAGGTCAACAAATGTTATGAATCAAATCTCTAAATTCAAGAGTAATATGAATAAAATGAAAGTAAAATATTTTAAAAATTAGAAATTAAATTATATGATCTATTCTTAATATGAGAATTACATTTACCCGTCAATGTAGATTGTCATATTCAATGAAGAAAAAGAATTACAAAATTTTCTCCGTCAAAACTCTATATCTTCCAAAACGTCATACAATACTCAAGTAGGACAAAAAGAACAAAAGAGAATACGCTTCTATATGTTATCAACACTATAAGGAGAAGTTATACTATTACGGGTTTCCACGTCATCTCCTATGTCATCCACCATGTCAGACAAACGTATTGGATACATAGCCACGTAGCGAATGAACTGAATTCATCCGTCGGATGTTAAGGCCCCGCACTCCACATCACTTCGTCACAACTCAAATAGACTAATCAATATTACTAAAACTAAGTCCGAAGTGATGACACCTAGAACGCAATTATCACTCATGTCGCAACCACTCCACTTCAATCATGTATACTCAGGGATCTTTTATGGAAAGATCTCAAAAACCGAATTCTTAAGACCGATTGATGGGATGTATGACAGACTCCAAAATGTCAAGTCATGCATTACTGTGTCAAAGAGCATTAAATGAACTGTCTATCTATGGATTGACACCTACGAGAGGACTGCCCGCCCTATATTCAAAGCCATGCTCCACATTCAAAGGTTCTTCTCTTATCCCCTTTCATTATAAATACTCACACTTACATTATGTAACGGGGTTCCTGAAAAAAAAAAGAGGACAAGCTTTTCACATTATCCCCGTCCATACACATGTCGTCGCCAAAAATTACGTTCTGATGATCACCACCACCGAAAGTCCCAACTCCGGTCTGCCAACTCACTAACTTGACCGTCGAAGTACTGCGGCCACTTCCACCCCTACTGGAAAAGGTCATGAGAGACTAACAGTGTGCTACTATGTACAGGAATGATGTTACATGGAAGTATTCGATTGGCCGCGTGTTTGGGTCATTTTTCAGGGTCAACAGATTGACGTTATCTGTGGGAAGTTGTTACTATAACCAAGAACATCACCTAGCCTCTCCATTGAAAAAGGAGTTGGTTTTGAAGAAAGAACAAGTGGAGGCCACAAGGAAGTAATTTGGAGTTTTCTTAATCACCTCTTGGAAGAATTTGCCAGCCCAAAACAATGAGTTCAAGCAACGAGGATGTGAATTCGAGAAGAGTAAAGGAGGTCTCTAAAGAAGAGATACTCTGAACCAGTGTTACCCACCAAAGGCCTCACTACCGCCATCGTAGGGATGGAAGAACTACGGTAAGGTTAACTACTGAGATAGCTTATTTGGCTACCAATATGAGAGCATTGCAGCAAAAAATGAGGCTATGCGTGAACTTCTCATGTAAGTCTAAAATCAAAGAGCTTCCAGATACCTCAGGGCACCCACAATCAGCCTACGATCAATGCGAGGCAGAAGTTGGGCAGAGCCATAGAACCTATTCAAGTCGACAAAGAAGAGATATTACTGTCGGAAAGGAAGTGGAGGTAGATGTCTCATCCAATTACGCCTTTGGTCATCCTACCGATAACGTTTAGGCCAGAGAGAACAATTACCCCACAGATTATGAAGAGCTGCCTCAAAGGTCTTTGAGTATGTTTGACCGGATTGGACAGATGCCTAGGAATAGAAATCAATCTACCCATCAAACAACTCAACTGCAAGAACAATCACAGAGCCAAATAGCCCAAGTTCTCCACCTAGGAACAAGCAAGAGAGGCAAGGTCTCATAAACTGGGAAAATCAATAAGGATTGTATTGACTTTCGCCTTGTTATTTAGTAGATGAGAATGATTCTGATGGACTATGCTGGTCCTATGAGCTCGATGACGATGACGAAAACCTTCCATTTTCCAAAGAACTTAGTAATTCTCCTATGCCTCATAATTTCATACCTTCTAAATTCCTAAATATAAGGGAAAAGGTGACCTTCGTAAACAACTCAACAAATATAAAACACAGATGACTCTTAGATACGTATCACCGGCTTTGAAGTGCATGGATTTTCACTTAACATTGGGTGGAACAACCGAAGTGTGATATGGCAGGCTAACGCCACTCAACATCAAGAGCTGGTCTGACCTTAAAAAGGCATTTCTGAACCAATATTTGTCTAAACATGGAGAGGCACCAGTCCAGCACCTCCAAGATATAAGGCAAGCAACAGGGAAAACATTGAAAAACTACCTAGCTTGCTTCACTTATGAAATAATTTACTACGAGCAAGTCACAGACAAATAAGCCATTTTAGCTCTAAAAGAAGGACTCAACTTGAACACAATATTTTGGAGACACGGCCAAAGTAAAAACCCAACCACTTATGACGAGTTGGTAAAGATGGTGAGAATTGAGATTATCAATGAGGAGATGATTGATCATCAAAATAGGGCGGTACATGGACTTACATCGCATTTGGTAAACCAACAATGGACCTAAACTCGGCATACCATAGCCCCCACTTCAGGACAGGCACTGGCCACGACGACTTTGAATGTTGTACCTACATTGGCCTACGAAAACGTTGGATCCGACAGCAACATTAAAACAAGAACATCTAGGAGACCATCTAACCCTATAAATAGGGGAAAGGACGGAGGACCTAGAAGTAGGCCCCCTAAGGAGGTGCGACCCTATCGTACTTTCCACCATTTCTATGACCGTGATAAGAACAAATGTCGGGAGGTGAAATTCATCTCGACATAACATGAATGATGATCGAGATAGGCCTAGGGATGGACAACGACCTAGAAGGGATCATCACATCGTAGCTGATAACATGCATGTCCGAGAGATTGATACGATTATTGGAAGACCGCATGTGGGAGGCAAATCTCGGAATGCACAGAGAATTACACAATGAAAGCTAAGGATTCGCTTGTGGCCAGCTATATAGTGAATCAGCACCAAGCGATGAGACCTATAAAGGCTCTCACATTCACTTAGAAGTCTAAACCTTTCGGGTAGGGATCAAGACTTTTCGAAATATCTTAGACTTGGGGATCTTCTCACCTAGGTTAAAACTCGAGTTAACTATATCATTACGTTTCGCATAGAATTCATCGAATGATTCATCGTCCTTCAATCTAATTTGTTCAAACCTAGAGGTTAGCATTTGCAGTTTGGAGTTCTTAACCATTTTGATATCCCAAACTTCTTTAGCAGTTTCACACATTGACACTCTCCTAAACTCCTCTGTAGACACAACCATAAATAAAGCATGAATTCCTTCACTATTCCAGTTGCAATTAGCAACTTGGTCTTTGGTCCAAAGAGAAATATCAGTAGGTGTAACAACACTAGCAACAGTGGATGAAGGTGCAGTCTAGCCATTTTTTACACTGATCCAAATACGCTCATACAATGCTTTAATGAATGCTCTCATTTGAACTTTCCAGTAAGCTTAGTTGCTTTCGTAAAAAAAGGAAGTACAGATAGAAACTGACTCATCTAGATAATTTAAGGGTCAGGAATCGAAATGTGGCTCTGATACCAATTAAAATAACGAGGCTCGACCCAAACTATACCTAGAGAGGGGTGAATAGGTGATTATGCGGATTAAAACTTAATAATTAGTTAGTAACAAGTCACTATTAATTATCTCTAAATGGTTAATCAAATAGTTCAATTTTTTCTATTTTGAAATACTACAGTTATATGGAGAAACTCCAACTGGATAAAAACTCCAGGCACTTTACTAGTCAACAATCCACTATATACGAATTAGAACTTACAATCCACCAGACTCGACTACCACTAGGACTTTTTTCTGACCTCCTGATTGCAATTCCCACAACTTTCCTGAATTTCGTGCACCTGCACCAACTCCCGATTTTATGAATTCATCTATCTTATGTGGATCAACGAAGAATTCCGTGTTCTTCAACAAC